AGGATTCCTTTGATCGAACTCCAAATGCACCAAATTTGGCTCCCTCCCGCAAAAAGGCACGATCAAAACGTAGCCTCTTCCTCCTCTGCAAGGCAGAGAGGCCGCTTTCTACTCTATAACTTCCCCTTCTGCGACAGAATGTGGTTCATCCTGCTCTGCTCGACATTGACACTGAGACCTCCTCTCTACGCTCCCTTCTCTTTGCCCTAGCCGCACTAACTGCAGCCATGCAATCACAAGAGTCCACTTCCCTTGTTGTTGTCATTCGACTCTCAGGTAAGTCGCTTACGACGTTTTATAGGTGAATTCATTTCTTTGGTTCCCGACACTACATTTCAACTTCTCGACTCTCGCTTCTGCTCAACTTTTTGATTCCTCTCCGCTCTCTTCGTTTCCTCTTGTAATTGAAACAAGTCATTACAAATCTAATCCAAGGAAATAAATCTAATCCACATAATTTCTAACAAGAATAAATAATTTTTTAATATAACTTCTAACATAAAGCCCAACTGTATTTTTTATATTCTAAGAACTCTTAGGTTGAAAAAGATAATATTAATGAAAGAAGAACTATTAATTCATTAAATTTTAAATTTGGCAACTTTTGTTTTGTTTTTAATTTTTTTATCTTATCATTTTTTATGAAATACTTAATAAAATGCTATAAGAAAAAATATTTTTAAAACCCTTCAAAATAACATAAATATCACATATAATAACATTCAAAAAGATTTACAACATCATCCAATATTTCTCTTTTGATAATTATTTATTAACTAAATATATCTTAAATAAAATTACATTTATGAAGCAAGTAAAGCTAGTTTCTCTCTCATAAATTATATATTGGTCACAATAATAATTAGATCATCAATTTTCACATGATATTTCATTAAATTAATAAATTACGAATGCATATTTCTCTATAGTACGCACAATTAGCTATACTAAAGCTTCCATCATTAATCTCAACTAAATTTATAACAATTCAAGGGCTCTAACACGCCTACTAATTCATGTATTTTTTTTTTTTTCTTATGCAGGTCATAACCTATTTTTACAAAGTTTAGTGTTTCAAAACTTGTCCTATGTCATCTAAGCATTTAAGAAAATACATTATTCTATAAATAAAAAATAAGAATATCTTGATGGATTTGTCTATCACGAAAAAAAAAAAAATCAAAAAAAGCGATAACATATATATGCTTATAAGAATATATTTTATATTTCAAAATGCATGCACTTACATTCTAACTAGAAAAGCTTTAAGAGTGGACTATAATAGACATCTATTTAAGAGAAAATGGTAAAGCAAAAAATTGAGAGAGAGAGCCAAAAGTCATCTCAAATTCATGTAGTATCAATAATTATATTTCAGGTTTTTGGCGATAAAGGTATGTATTTGATTGATTTGGTTGATGTTTAGAAATAGCTAAATCAGTTGGTTTAAGTTCTAAATTCAAAAACTAAATTGGAGCCCGGTTCGATCGTTCCCGTCTCGCTCATTTCCAGTTTCGCTCGCTCCCGCTTCCCTTTAGCGAAAATTCGCGAACTGCTCCGTCTCCCGATCGCGAAAAGTCGCGACCGCGACCCTACTGTTTCGCGAAACCAATCCCGCCTCTATGTTTCGCGAAACGTTGCCTATTTCTCCTGTATGTTTATCTTTGTTTATCTTCTTCGGTGTAGAGAAAGAATAAGAGAGAGCAACGAAGTGAGAGATCCCCCTTGTAAGTTGAAACGATCGTCTGGTGTATATTCCTCATGTATATTCCTCAAGTAATAAAATCCTCTGCAACTTTGTAGACGTAAGCAATTTGCTGAATCACGTAAATCTTTGTTCCGCTGTGTTACTGTTTTCTGGTGTGAATTTTCTCTTTATTTTCTCGTTATATTCGTTATATTTTTTCGCTTCATCAAAGATCGTTCTCTTATTTTATTTCTATATATCACAAGAACTGGTATCAGAGTTTTTTTGAATCTGAGGAAGAATGATGGCTGCAGATGAAGTGAAAGTTTCAGGGATTGAGAAATTTGATGACACAGATTTTGGTTATTGGATGATACAAATAGAAGACTACCTCTATGGGAAGAAACTTCATCTTCAATTATTGGGGAAAAGACTTGAAAGGATGGAAGAGGCTGATTGGAATCTGTTGGATCGATAGGTTCTGGGGTTAGTTCTGGAAGTTCTGGGAGTTATTCGATTGACCCTATCGAGGTTCGTTGCACACAACGTCGTCAAAGAAAGGACGACTGCAGATCTCATGACAGTCTTATCATGTATGTATGAAAAGTCATCAGTGAATAATAAGGTGTACTTGATGAAGAAGTTATTCAACTTGAAGATGATGGAATGTGTTTATGTTGTTCAACGCCTAAATAATTTTAATACTATCACAAATCAATTGTCGTCTGTTGAAATTGATTTTGATAATGAGATACGTGCGCTGATATTGTTGACATCGTTGTTAAATAGTTGGGAAGCCACAAGAATGACAGTTAGCAGTTATGCAGATAAATATAAACTGAAATGTGATGATATTCGTGATTTGATTTTGGCTGAGAAAGTGCGCAGAAAAGATTATGGCGAGATCTCAAGTACGAGTTTGGCGCTGAATGTTGATTTCATAGGGATATGGCATGATAGGAACTCAAATAGAGGCAGATCAAAATCAAAGTCTGTTCAGCAAGCAACCTGCTGGAATTGTGGCAAGGCTGACCACATAAAGAAAAATTGTAGGAATCCCAAGAAGATGGAGAATGATAGCGCAAATGTGATATCTGAAGACAATGCACTATTGCTGGCAGTTCATAATTTTGTTGATGATGGAGGTGAAGAGGTGAGTGGGTCCGAGTATTGTTCCACAGACAGATGTTGGAAAACCACATAGCTATGAAGAAATCTTGCAAGATGAAAGTTCGAGCAAGTGGAAGCTGACAGAACTTCCACCAGGAAAGAAAGCATTGCACAACAAGTGGGTTTACCAGGTGAAAACTGAACTTGATGACAGTAAGAGGTACAAGGCTAGACTTGTTGAAAAAGGCTTTCAGCAGAGGCAGGATATTGCCCATGCAGTGAAAGTTGTAAGCAAAGCCAAGCGTAATTCAGGAAATAGCTTGGAGGTGCAAAGCTATATTGACCCTACTGATATGTTGACTGAGGGTGTTACTCTTTAGAAACTGAAGTTGTGCACAGTTTCAGTAGGTAGACAAGGGCTATGAGTTGAGAGGTGGAGGATACGTGTTGAAGAAAAAGGGCGACACCGCCAGTGGAGGATATCAGTTCGAGAAAGAAGACGTTGTAGTCTGTCTACCGGTCTCCAAGTGAGATATTTGTTGAGTTTTGGAGCCCAACCCGACCGCTCCCGCCCCGCTCCTTTCCCGTTTCGCTCGTTGTTGCCTCCCTTTCACGAAAAGTAGTGAACTGCTCCTGTATCCCGATCGCGAAAGGTCGCGACCGCGACCCTGCTGTTTCGTGAAACCACTCCCGCCTCTCTGTTTCACGAAACGTTGCCTCTTCCGCCTCCTCTCTCTCGCGCGCAATAAAAGGTATCGCACGACTCTCCTTCAGTTTTGAAGTCACGACCCTTTTTTGGTGTTCTTCTTCGGGCTTTCTCGGGATAGAGGAAGGAAAGTGCAAGAAGTAGTTCCTTGCAGCAGAAGAAAGAATAAAGAAGAAGATTTTTCTCCCTTGATTTCTTCTTGGTGGCTTGTGCCAGAAGAGAAATTGAGTTTATTTCTCTTGTAAGTTTATCTTATTCAGTGTATCTCGGTGTAGAGAGAGAAGAAGAGAGAGCAACGAAATGAAAGATCCTTCTTGTAAGTCGAAACGATCAACTAGTGTATATTCCTCTAGTAGTAAAATTCTCTGCAACTCCGTGGACGTAGGCAATTTGTCGAACCACGTAAATCTGTGTTTCGTTGTGTTGTTATTTTCTGGTGTGAATTTTCTCGTTATATTTTTCGCTTCATCAAAGATCGTTCTTCTATTTTATTTCTATATATCACAACATTTTCTAAATAGGACCAAGCTTTTGTTAGGTAATTAACATTAACGATGAACCAAATTTGCTTCATCTCAAATCACACATCTTAAGAAGAATACCAAAATTTTTTGTTTAAACTTAAAAATCTAGCATATGTAATAAATAATATAGACAATGAAAGCAAACCTCTAAGCACATGACGTCAAATAGGAAAGCATACAACTAGATAAAAAAAAGTTCCTAGTGGCTTTTGCCAACTCTTTTTCCTTCACTTGAATCTTAATGGTGCGTGACAATCATTCATGAGTTGATACATTTTGTACAAGGCATGTAGGTTTGGCTTAGTTGGGTTGTGATGGGTTGAGTGGGAGGGATTAAGATAAACACTTCATTTTGGGAGCCCAACCACTTTTCAATCTTATCAATAGTAATTTTGCCACTTGTTTAATTTCAAGCCAAAAGGAGCTAAGCTTAGATTTTTCTTAAATTTTATTTTATATCAATTATTTTATTGCATGAGCAACTTTTAGATAAAATAACAATATCAAGTTAACAACATTTTACCCTTTCGGTGGCCTTTTAGGTGCATGTGCATACTCTATTATCAAAGTGCAATGCTACTTAACTATGAGGATCTATCATTAACGTGAAAACTGAGGGGAAAAAATATGAAAGGCACAGAACGGGGAAGTTGCATTATTATAATTACTGAATAGATAATGTGGTACTACTTAGAGATGAAAAGAGGAAAGTCTATTAATTTTAAATGGAAATTCAAATGAAATTTCAAAGCTGACTGCATAAATACATCCAGCAGTAAGAAACATTAGATTACTTCGGTAAAACTTGACCGCATTTGTTACTAACAATATTTGCAAAAAACAATCTGAAGTAAATCATGACTTCTATGCATTAAAGTAAATTCCAATCTACAAAAATGCTAATTCAGAGGTGATTTGGCATCCACAAAACTCAATAAATAAGAAGAGTAAAAGAACAAGCTTCAAAGCACACCTGCAACTCTCGTTTGCGGTCAATAACTAAATCAGTATTTGGCCCATACAACCTAACAGTCAGATAAACATAATCTGAACTGGCTTCTTTTACAGCAACCTTCAGCACTGCAGGGTTAGTAGGAACAACATTAAAGATGCAAAATATGGCAGAATAGCAAAAAATATTTTAAGCTAATAAAGATGACTAAAAAATGGGAAGTTTAGACATATAAACAGTTCTTGACTATTCATATAGCTCACAAACAGTTATTCATTTTTCATATAGCTCAAACGAAAGGTCTTATTGAGTCCACCTCCCAATTTTTTTAAATATCTGAAGCATCATCATGGAACTCTTTAATTCAAAAGTGTCACTCCAACAAAATTTTATCTGAGGTTTCAAGCATGTCTTAAATTCAACCATTCCACCCTCTCTCCCTAATCCCACTGTCTATGGTGCCTGTTGACTTCCACTTGACAAAAACTACACCCGATCTAAGATATCTTGAGATCAGAGTTCATAAGCACACCAAAGACTAAAGACGCAAAGAAATACACGAGATAAAAATTTATAGTTTCTTGTAATTTAAGGATTGGTATTTTTAGATGCAAAATCACGAAACATGTTTAATTCATTCCAAATAATAAAATGAAAAGTAATCAACATCTAAAATTTGATAAGAATTTTGAGAACAAATCAATCGTTTAAAAGGTAGAGGTGTATCGAGAGTCGTAAGTTACTTATATTTTCTATTTTCAAATATTTAAATCAACTAGAAAATAATGTTTAAAAATCAAATACTAAAAATGAAATGAATTCTAAATTTTAAAGCCCAAAATAACTTCACTCATATTATAATTCCAAAATAGAATGGCACAACTATAAAATCTTAGTCAAGAATTTGAAACCAAAGTATTCACCAAAAGAGCTAAATAAAAAATAAAATACAAACATTCATATATGAAAAATAAATAAAGATCCAACTCCATATAGAGGCATAAACTAAGAAATAAAAAAAACAAATACTATATGAATTTAGACCTTATAACATACTTTAAAGATATCTTAAGAAGCATTGGTTAAAGTTCAGATCACCACGTTCTTTAATGAAAGAAACAGCACAAAGGCACTGGCAAGAAGATTTTAGCCAAAATAAGACTTGCAAATTGTTGAGTCAAAAGAGACAAAGTGACCAGAGCAATGCAATACAGAAGAAGATTAACCAAGAAAGCAAAAAATGTCGGGGAAGCAATTATTGAGCAAAATGGTGAGAAAGTTGGGTGTGCAAGTTGGCGTGGAAAAAGGAGCGCGAGTCAGTGGGAGAGCAAGTCAGCGATTGAAATATGATGAGAAAGTGGGTCAATCAAGGAAGAATGTAGGTCTGAAAACCCTCTAATTTGCTTAGGCTTTTTAATAGGCTTAAAAAGAATTTTAAGAAATTTGATTAATAGATTAAGAGAAAGAATTTTTTTTTCCAAAAGTTGAAGGCTAGGGGATTTCTTATCATTCAAGTAAAGTTCACCAAAGGGGTTAATTGGTTGTAGGCATTAGTAGTGTTAAAAACACTTGATGTAGGGTTTTAAAATTTTAAATGTTAGGTTGAAAGAAAATCAAAAACTACATATATATTTAAGGAATTTGTAATCTCCGACTAGTGCTTGCTTCATCTGCAACCACGCCATCCTCAATTTCAATCATGTTGCATTTTACTCTGCTTTCCTAGTGATCCTTACATGTTTTTCTTTACTTCCCTAAGTGATCTTGCCATGTTTTCTTCTTCTTCCCCGATCGATACTATGGCATTTTCCTCTCCTTCCTTGAACAAACAAGTCGCACTTTCCTATTATGTATCCATCTATATACGAACACACACGCATGCAAGCACCCACACCCACACGCACGTGTGTGTGCGCGCGCGTGCACACATACATATAGATGCACACAGATATGCACCTACACATTTTAAAAAAATAAATAAATGACCAGAGACTATTATAGGAGTCTCCAGTCACTCCTAATGTGCACACGTCGCCAAAAGGAGATTTGAAACCCCGACCTGAAGGGTCTTACACCAAGGATGTCAACCAACAAAACGGGGTACACGGCTCATATGCACATACACATATCCCTACACACACACACACACACACACACACATACACATATCCCTTTATATGCATGTACGTGTATATATATATAATATGCATATATGTATATAGATATAGATATATCTATAGATGTATGTATATAGATATATCTATAGACGTATGTATATAGACATATATGTATATGTATGTCCGCATGCGTGCACACACACACACACACATATGTAAACTAGATATATCTATAGATGTATGTATATAGATATATCTATAGACGTATGTATATAGACATATATGTATATGTATGTCCGCATGCGTGCACACACACACACACATATGTACACACACAGACACACATATACATATATATACACATACACATATCCATACACACACACACATATACATATATATACACATACACATATCCATACACACACACACATATACATATATATACACATACACATATCCATATATATACATATATATATATACACATATGCACATATACATAGACATGCACATATAAATATACAAAGGCATATGCACATATAAATATACAAAGGCATATGCACATATAAATATACAAAGGCATATGCACATATAAATATACAAAGGCATATGCACATATAAATATACATATACAAATATATATACAGATATATGTTTGTGTGCGCGCGCACATACATATACATATATGTCTATATACATACATCTATAGATATATATATATATATATATATATATGCATATTATATATATATAATTATTATTATTATTATTATTATTAAATATATCTACATAATTTATTAAAAAAAATTAAATAATACATATGTAAATATATTAATAGTTTATATTTGATCACATTTTACAAACACATATCCTCGATTTATTTTTTTTTTTTTTGTGATTGACATGAAAAGAGATGAGAATCCATGACATGAAGTATTTCTCCTTAAGCATGGCATGATTTTATGGGCTTGTCTTTCTTGCAATTAATTCTTAAAGGCCCTTGCAAGAATGCTTTCAAGATCAAACACAGCATTATATTATTATTTAGTTTAATATCCAAATGGCTCATATTCAGATCACTAACAAACTTAATTTTCATAATTAACAATTAATTTTTTGTGGATTTCGAAAGACAAATTATATTAAAAAATAAAATAAATACAAAAATGTCAACATTTATCATAAATCACAATATACAAAACAAAAGATTTATAAAAAAATTCATAGATGATAGAGAATTTGAAAATAGGCAAACCATGTGATAAGCTTATATAGATAACAATCTCTTTTTAAAAAAGATTAAAAATAACAAAACCTAGATGGCATAGATGTTAGTAGAGATATGCATGCAATTTTAGACTTATCCAAATAAATAGAAGATGAATTGCATGTTTTCATTAAATTAAATTTGTTAAAATAATGACACAATTTGACTTTCCTTATGAAACTCTATTTAAATTATTTGGTTTTTTTTAAAAATGAATGTTAAGAAAAGAAATGAAAATTTTCCTCAAGAATCTATGAGAACCTCCTTTGACTAAGTAGATCAGAGACCACGATGACCCGGGATACGGAATCATGGGATCTTGATCGAGTTTCATCACCTTTTACTCCACCATCTGTTTTAAACTTCAAGTGATAAATTTTACAATTTAAATCCTAGATTTGTTGTTATTATATGTTGAATATTCAATTTGTAATGACTTAGCCTTTATCAAAAGTGCTCTCTCATTATTAGAGAGTAATTAACTATATGGGGGATTGCATCTATGAGAAACACGAATCCCATATAAAAAAGCACTTGCTAAATAATGGTGAAATCACTAAGTAGTATCTTATCTACAATTCAATTAGCCTTCTAAAAATTTGACACTCCAAAAGCTCTCTAAACACAACAAAACAAAAAGAAGCAGAGAGTCCTGAGAGATCGAAAATTTCGGAGTCGTGTTATGTTTTTAAAATTCGGCCAATTAGAACATATTCCGAATTCAGAGAAAATGAGCTAATGGCTGAATTTCAAATACAATGCTATTTTACATTAAATTTAAATTTCTTCCAAACAAATGGCTGAATTTTCAAAACCCTTGCATTAGGAGTGCTACATTAGAAATGCAATGCACTCTTAATGTTGCCAACTAAACAGCCCATAAGTAATCCTATTTACAAACCAAAAAGATCCAAAATGAATAACTCCTTATAATCCTCCCAAATAAGGCAAAATTTGCAAGCTCCAATTCATCAACTTAGATTCCGACAAAAATAGCAAGTTTCCAACTTCAAAAACTAATTTCAAGCATTCTAACTTTTTTTTAAATAGTAAAATATCATATAGAAGGAAACCAATCAGCCGAAACCAACTCCAATAGAAGATTGCAGAAAGAAAGAAATCGAATGTGTTACCATAAAGTTAATCTCATAAGACAAGTACACAACTCTTGTAGCAAGACACATGAAACCCTGCTTATGGTCGAAGCTACAGTATGGTGCATCCCAAATGGACTCAAACCAATAGCAATAGATGATGATAGCGGAAAAAATGGGGGAAAAAACAGAGAAGCAACAGTTCTGATGATCATCAAAATCTCAAATCAGTTGTGTTTTTTGTTGTTCCACTATAAATATTCAAATCCATTAATCCTCTGACAAGCTCACTAAAAGAGAAAACTTTGCATTTCCAAGGACTTGAGACTTTCAAATTTGAATAAGGAACTCGCCATAAAAACACTACCAAACTAACCTTTGGCGGTCACGCCACAACTAGATGATTTTTAGTGAACAAACCATCCCTGAGATACTCTTGAAGCACTCACTATTAGGCAATTGTCGAACTGTCATAACCAAGTACACCTGAAGGCTGGATGCTTATCACATATTCAAGATAAAATTAAACCAAGTATTTTTTTTGACTGAGTGGCATTTTCATAGGATGAAAAAAAATATAGTTGGTATGGCAAATATGGATTGATTGTGAGATGTTTGAACAATTAAGAGCTCAATGAAAAATACAACAAGTATTTATTCAAGAATTCTGTAAAAAGGATTCAACCAATCAAAAGAGCAACAAAATGATGTAATTTTCAAATCTTAACAAAGGCTGAACTTACAGAGGTTTGTTATGCCGCCAGAAACTCTCTCAACTGAAAAATGTGAATTGTCCAGAGATGACCATTTTCTAAAAAGATCCTTGCATAAGTCGCTATATAGAACAAAATCAAATTATCACGTCAGAAACAACTCAATGTGGAGTAAAAAGTGGAGACGGTGGGAAGGATGAGGGTTTGCAGGGTTTGCTATGCTGCCAAATGATAAAAAAAAAAAAGACAAAGAAGAAAAAAAAGGTCATTCCACAGCCGATTCTTGTAATTGTTCTTTTTGACATTCTACCAACCAAATGCTAGATCATAAATGCAATTAACTAACGCTTGGATTTTAGTTCTATTGTAAAGGTCTCAATATGGGTTGTTCACAGCTTGAATGTTTAGAAGACAAAATTTAAATTCAATTTTAAAGTTCATGTCACATGTCATTTGTAGTCAACTATAAAATCTAGAGAAGCAATTGTAGGAAACTCCTCAAATATTTTGAAGGGCAGTGCATCCGACAATGGAATCCAGATGCATTTAGAGACGCAGTCAAAAATCCTTCAGCCGCAGGAGGTTATAGCAACTCCATTACCTTCAACATGTTCGATATGATTCCACACTATAAGGAGACAAAAACTTCGACAGATGAGACAAATCTCTCCCAACCCTGAGGACTGACGCGAGCATACTTGCTGTCGGAGTTCTGAACCGAATTGTTGAGGCTCCTATGATAGGAATCTTGGACCAGCAGACTTCTCCCTTCCTCTAGACCAAACTTCCGGCTCAAGCAAGCACCTCCAGAAGCCAATAGGCCCTATTTTTCAAGGGATTTGTCGCTCGACTGATGTGGGGGTCAATTCTTTCTTATACTAGGTCTATATATGTTGTTTTCATCGGAAATATATTAGTTTTCATATATTTTTGTTCATGACAATCGTCTTCATTCGGTGTTTCCCTGCTATGGTTGTATCCGAAAGCGAGAAGGTAAGCCGGTTGTAACTCGTCTGAGATGGCGACCGTCTCCCAAGAATCAAATGTTGTTTCGGCTCTAGCTCGATCCTGCAGGGATATTTATCCCCGATTTCCCTTCTCCCACAACCTTTCTATCACCCCCACCCTCACCACATTAGCTGACGCCACTGGAAAACAGGCACTTTACTGTTTTCCTACCTCTTTTCCCCTCTCCATACCTTCCCAGCCTTCCTTATAGCCACCCTAACCTACCCCTGCCCTTGCCGGACTCGCTCACAGCCACCTGTTGTCTAGCCGTCGGACAACCCAACAACCCCCCACTCCCCTTTGCCGCAAGCCAATCTTCCTCGACCCCTAAACCCCCCATACCTCTCAATCTCCGCGCCGCCCCCCCTCCCCCAAAGACCACCTTTGAATTGTTTGTGACTGCCTATTTGAATGTTTCATTATGATTTTGGTCAACTCCGGTATCAAAACCTTGAGAAAACAAACCATGTAAAGCCAGACACTAACGACAAATAAGCGAAGACAATTTTTCTTTTAAAATCAACCTTAAACCGCCCCATTTCAAGTTGTAATTTTGAGTGGTGACTTTAACAAAGACATAAAATTCTAGATCAGAAAGATGGACAAGGTTCCGCAAATAAATTTCCAAAAAAAGTTATTTTCAATATTAGGAAATTGAGCTTATGATGATTAGCATAAAGGGACAGAGAAACTCTTAGCAAAATGGAAACATTCGCCGCTCAATATCAACAAAAAGATAGGATCACTACATGAATCAAACCAAAAATCAAAATCTAATCAAACCAGGATACAACGGAAGCTTGAATGAAAGAAACAAGAAACAGATCCGCGTACACAATCCCAGGCTTCATCTCAGGAACTGGAAGGGATATGTCTATGGAAATCGAAGACGAAGGGATTGAGGACGCCACGTCCTCATCGTTCCCGTTACTCCTTCCTCCACCGTCGCTGCAAAGTGCCTCCTTAACGACAGCAGAAATATTCAAGCTCTCCTCCTCCGCCTCCATAGCTCTCTCTCTCTCTCTCTCTCTCTCTCTCTCTCTCTCCGAGCAATCTCTCGCAACCTTCCTCAATGCCGCTTTATGCACCTCAACACGGCAACACATGGGGGTTTGGCCGGTGATTTGGCTTCGGACTTCGGCGCGCGTCGTTCTTCTTCAGCATCTCACGCGTGCTGCAAAACAGGGGACAGCCTTTTCCTTTAAAAAAAAAAAAAGATTAGGATCACACCTTATTTTATTACAAAAAGTAAAATATATAACTCAATTACATAAAAACCATAAACAAAGACATAAATTAAAAATTTCAACATATAAAATTAAAACAAAGTCAATAGCAGTAACCCAACAAATAAAAACAATACAAATACAAATAGTGAGAGTGAAGTAACAACAAAATCAAATCAAAAATCTAAGAAATATTTGCATACGGAATACGCACGTTGCTCTGTGTGCGTACTTCATTAACCTCGCAATACCTCCATAATAACCTATGAATAACAGCGAAATAAAACTCGCGAATATTATTGAAAGGTTAGTGGGGTTATATGTTATTGAAATTAATACATCAATAACCTCTCAATAACCCTCTAGTAACCAAGAAGCCAAGGTTATAGAGAGGTTATTACGCACGCAGTTCTGCGTGCATAGTCCGTATGCAAATATTTTCCCAAAAATCAACACCTCCTCAAATAGAGTATAGATTCAAAAATTCTGAAAATCAGCCAGAGAAGTCAGCACATTTAATAGCAAATAGAAACATGGTGAATCAATGTCCAGCTGCAACAAAAAAATCTATTCAAGATAGGAGTTTCATACGGATCTGCAAAATAACAAAACAAAGAAAACGACCCAGACAAAACAAAAGGGAAAAAATAAAGATAGCCATGTATAGCACAAAGAACCAGAAACCCAATCTAAGTTCAAAATTTCATCCAGTATTATGAATATGACAAATAAAAAAACTATAGATATTAGAAAATACAATTGAATTAAGAACAAAGCAAAATAAGCTAAACTCAAACCAAAAATATGAGCTCAGATATGGGTGTGCATTCGATCGGTTCGGTTGGATCGGTTCATAAATTTTTCAAACCGTGAGGATCTGAAATCCAAAAGCCAAACTATCAATCCAAAATTATTTTCCACTGAACCGAACCAGTCAAACTCAACTGATGTTCAGTTTGATCGGTTGAGATTAACATGAATCAAACTAAATAAATTTGATATATTAGAAATTAAAAAATATATATACAAATGCAGTAACACTATTACAACACATCGTATTCAATTGATTAAAATAATATGATTACAAAAAAATCAAGTTGCAAAAGCAAAACTAATGGATTAAAATTCCTTAAATAATATTCAAGCGATAAAAATAAATTATAAGTTACAATCTAAAAAAAAACATGCAACAATGAAATTTTTGGAACTATACAGATAATAAGATCTTTAGGCCAACTTTTTCTCTCATTGGCAATGTGGGGACGCCAACTTTTTCTGTGCTTGAAGAATGATTTTGAATCTATGAACAAAGCAAATAAGAATTAATAGGGCAATACCAATAGAATTGTGTTAAGTGCGTGAATTTCTCAAATTAAATGTCACTTTGAACCTTAGTTTAGATACAACGCTCTGACATGCCAATTCACCACATAGCTCATTGAAATTCAAGCATCATGTAAAAGAGTTTATTTAACAACTGATACTTGGACTTCCATTCAAAAAATCACATATATGTGTCTTACTACAAATTAACTTGATGGGGATTGGAAAATGAGCAAAAGAGTGGTTAACATTTGCCCAATTTATAGTCATAGAGGAGAACTTCTTTGGCAAGTTGAAAAATGCTTAGTTGATCGGGGGATTGACGCAATTTTTACGATTACAATTGATAAAGCAGGCCCCAACAATGTCATCAACACTCATTTGCAAAAAAAAAAATTGTAAAAATGGCAGGAATATGTTTGATTGTAAGTTATTACACGTGAGATGCATTGCTTATATCATAAATTTAATTGTTCAGAATGGGATCAATGATTTAATGACCATGTAAATTTACCAAATTAAATTTCTCTGCCTTCAAGGGAGTATAACATAAAAAAATGAAAATTTGAGCATAGATATATTGCGCCAACATGCAAGCTAATTAAGATTTCTATTCTAAGAATATAACATTCATTGTTCTTCCTCTCATTCATGCAACAAAAGATTTAAGTCATTCTTGGCATGCATGCTCATAATTCATGAAGCAAACTTGTTTTTCAACACTAAAAGATTGAATGCTTCAAACCCTTTAAGCTGAAACTTCATCCAAAAAAATGCAATGCCTAAGAGAAAGAGAAAAAGAACAAAAACTAAAAATCAAGCTATCAAAATTCAATGATATAATCATGTAAAATCTTAGGGCCCATCAAGCCATAATATGAACTCCATCAAAAGATATCAGAGTATCAGCAGAACTTCTCAAAATAAAGCGGCAACAACCTGGTTTCTAGGAAATAAGCATAATCAAATGAATTCTAAGAACAAAGCATAAAGAGTAAATGTGCAAGGAGCATATGTTCTTCATCCAACTATTCAAATATCTGTACTTATCAGATAACATAATAAGGTAAGAGTTACAGAAATCAGAGAGCATATCAAGTAAACAGACAAAGCAAACAAAACTAGTAAGTCAAAAGAAACTAAATGAATGGTTGAGTTTCATGGGATGATGGGCATCATCTTACCTTGCTAAAAAACCTGCTCGATAAAATCTGCTAGAAAAAACTGCATATAAACCAAATGATAATTAACCAATACATTGACACATCATCAAAATGAACAATAAGTTCATTAATGTAAGTATTTAGCAAATCAATGCAGTCAAAACCGTCAACATTTCTCTAAATTATCATCCTCACCATGATGCATCAACTAAAACAATACACTATATAAGCATGTTGGAGCTTAAACAAATGCTCAACAATTAGCATGTTGCATCAGTCAAAACAACTTTAAGGCTTAAGCTTGGTATAAGTAAGTCTATGCCCAACATTTAGTAGGTTGCATCAGCCATCCAATGACAAACATTTACCATGTAAGTAAATTCTCTTCTTCTCAAATTTCAATTATCATAGTATAAATGTATAAATGTATCTAACAAAAAAACTAAGATGCAATGAGATAGGAATTGATTCATCATGGATTTTCAAAATATATTCTCAAAAAAACTTGCCACATATTCAAGTATTTGTTCTTCGTAATCAAGTATTTGTTCTTAATATATAATTATAAATCTCTTACAAATAAAGCAAGCAAGATTGAGAAAAAAATAAGAAAATGGATGAATAGTTGAGCTTCATGGGATGATGAGAATTATCATGGCATTCCAAAAACCCTGCTTGAAAAAAAACTTCCACATGAAAATATGTCATATAATGAGTTTGATTTATCATATATCTTAAAGTATTTCCCAATTTAAAATGATAATCTATTAATTGAATTCATACACAACTAATGCAACCCAAAATTGTACAACAATGAACCAAATGCATCAACCAAAAAGGCAAAAAATGTTGGCGGTGAAACTTAATTAGGCAAAGCAAACAATATTTGCATGTATTGTATTATTGCCTTCTGAACTTAATTAAAGGATAACTTGTCCACAATCCTAAGATGAAGAAATATGAAGCATATATATAATTTCTAATAGAAAACTCTAAAGTAAAAGAGCATGTTAGTATATTGTAGAAAGGCATGTAATATGAACATGCAACACACTATATAGGAAATGATCAGATTTTTTAACCACAATCCCATTGATATCAAAATTTTATACAAACAAAATAATAATGAACTGAAAGCATCGGACATTAGTCTACCAGAGATGATTTAAACATGACAGAATATTCCATAAATATTAAACGCATTCTATCATGGAATAAAAAGTTGTTTTAAATATGAGAGCAAAATGAACTACAAAGCTATATGAATTTTAAACCAAACTACAAAATTTAAAATAGTAATGGACTTATTGCAACAGTCTCTCAAACACTCAATACCTTACCAAAGTGTTAAATCCTTACCAAACTTTAATAAATCTATAGCAGATAATAAAGAAGTTGAGTTAGTTTTAACTTCTAAATAAAAAAATGATAAATGAATAACCTTAACAAACACGTTACCTTCATAAAATTTATCCACATCACAAATATTCTCTTCGACATTAACAGGGTCACTTGTTCATTTTACCATTATCCAATCTTAAGTGCAAACTAGTACTTGCACAATTCCAGGAGATAATTAACTCCTAAGAACATCAAGAACACGGCCACTTGTGCTAAATGTATGCCATTTTAGATATTGGAACTGATAGGAAATCTCTAGCCATTTGAGATAGGATTGGAAATTATGGTGCATTAACCTTCCATCATGCTAAAATATCATAACTATCTTTATTTATTGATATGATATTTATCATAATAAATTGAGGCAAAAAAATTGAAAAAGGGGGATGCTTGCATAACTTCATACATAATACGATTTTTAACGTGGTCTCTATTATGATCTTTATCACCCTCATGTAGCAAAATGGAGAGTAATATATCTTCTTGCATAACTTTATAATAAATAAAAACAAGTTTGCATATATATGATTTATATTGGATCATAAGTACAAATCTAAACCGAAAAAGTAAAATCGTCCAAAGTCCTAAACTGCTTGCATGTCTATAGTTAATATTGGACAAGCGTCACAAGCCAACTTCATAGAAAATAATATAACTTCAAAGAAAAGAAGAAGATATAACTCAAAACAAAACTAAATGTCAATACGTGATTCTTCTAATCTTCATAATCTTGTTGTTTTTATGAAAAAACAAATAAAGTCAAAGACTATAGAACGACCGAATGCACACCCCCATCTCCACTTTTATATGCAATGAAATCCTTGTCACTTCTCACTTCGCACTCCCACCAAATGATTTAGTATTTAAATCTCTTGATGATTTTGAAATTGAAGATTCTTGAACTCATTTGATTCATTTTGCCAGGATACTTGATTTAATTATAAACATGCAAATTTATATGTCATCTGATCTTCAGTTAATATTCCAATTTTTTTAATTAAAATTTAAAAAATATTATTTTTAATATTATTGATTCCTCCTTTTGATACATTCAATTTAA